ATTTACAAGTGTTAACAAGAATCTGAAATTATTAGAAACTCCATGAAATAATGCAGCTGCTTAGAAGAACAGCTTGTCATTTCCTTAAATAATTAAATATAAAGTTATAATAGGATCCAGTAATTCTACTTTTAGCTATGCATCCAAACAAAATGAGAACATGTTCACTTCTACACAAATGTTCTTAGCAGCATAGTTCATAAAAGCCCCAAATTGGAAACAACACAAATGATCATCAACTAATGAATAAACAAAATGCCCATATCTATACTATAGAGTATTATTCAGTCATAAAAAGGAATGAAGTATTGATGAATGCTACAATATGGTTGAATTTTGAAAACATGGTCAGTGAAATAAAGCAGTCATGGAAGCTCAAACCTTGCAGATTTCATGTACATATCTTATTTATATAATATATCATAAATAGACGAATGCATGGAGACTGAAAGCAGTTTAGTGGCTGCCAGGGCCTGAGAGCAGAGGGCAGGACTATTCATGGTATGGGATTTCTTTTCAGATAATGAAAATATTTCCAAAGGAATTCTATGCTCTAAAAGAATTCAATGGTTCTAATGAACTGTTTGTAATGGAATTAGAAATATCAAATGAAAGTAAATATAATAGTTGTACAAATTTATGAATATACTAAGAACCACTGAATTTTATACTGTAAAAGGGTAAATTTTATGGTATGTGAGTTATATTTGAATTAAAGTAAAAATGAGCATCTGGATGGTGTTTTGGAAATGTACTCAGGAACATTCTTTCCATAAGAAATAGTCCTGCAATAATCTGTGCAATAGAATCCCAATTTTATTTTAAAGTGGTATAGGGGAAAAAAAGCAACAACTGGAGGTTTCATACTTATTCTTTACAATAGGCCCATACTTATCTTCCAATTCATATAACGAAATGGAAAATGAAAACAAAACCCAAACCATGGTTGCTAGGAGCTTTCTCTGGGTGGTGGGCAGGGAAGGGTAAGAAAATGATCTACAGATTACATTCTACTTGCATACATAGTTGATGTGCTAGAAATCCCTGCCTAAAATTTCAGGTTGGCATGAGTATAAACTTGTGATTCAATGTGTCTGTCAGTTTATTTTATTTTTTCAATGTAGTTAAGGATCAAGCTTGGGGTAAATCTTTGTTTGAGCAGGACTTGTGATGGACAATGTCTTTGTTACCTGTATGACCTTTGCCTACAATCCGAAGTTGGGGCTTGAAGAATGGAAAAGTATGATGGCCGTGGGTACTAATCCAAAGGTCTGCTTTCATGGTTTATTCCAGGATAAGTCTTTACAGATTGTCAGAGCTTTTAGGAAGATTTTTTTTGATTAGACATTATTATTTATTCTTTCAGAAATGTGTGGATGTGTGTTTTACCTACAGGGTGCACAGAATCAAGGTCAGAAAACCACAATGAGAAGGAGGGGTCACGATTCCACTTGACCTGATAGAACTCATTCTCCCTGACCTCCCAATGATTAGGAAATGGATTTGCAGAGGCCACACTAGATTATTGTGGTAGATAAACAATTATTATTTTTGTGGATAAATAATTCTTTAATGTTTATTCTAGATTAAAATATTCAGATTTTGCCAACTAGACTCTTGTAAATTATTGTGTCTATAGATTGCTACAGTTGCTGGTTCAGGCTGTAGGGCAAGGCATCCCACCTTGTCCAGGCGGTTGGTGTTTCTTTAAATGGATGGAAATTCATACTGTGAAGAACTGAAATGTGACTCTTACTGGGAGAAGGGGGGAGTAGAGAGATAACCCTCTAACAATAAAACTTGACCAGGAACTGAGGTATGCCGTGGGTGGAACTCTACAAGAGGTTTCTTGTATTCCCTTGAATTCTGGAGACAATTATATAGAACATTTGTGGCTTTGTTTTAGTTTTTACTTTTGAGTAGGTAATAAATACACTGAACACACCCTTTAAAAACTTTGTAAAGGTATATAGTGAAAGGAATTCTCCCGTTCCCCCTCAGTCACCCAGAGACATTTCCTCTAATCAGCCTCAAACCTTGATTAGGGCATCTAATACTCAGGGCCTTGTTTAGTGACACTCTGACAGAGAGTTGAGGCTGGAAGTAGAGTGTGGCCTCCTGGCCCTCTGCTTCCTCTGAAGCCAGCTTGTGGTGGCAGCATGGTGTGGGTGAGGAGAGAGAGCGAGCTCTGCAGGAGGATGAGACAGGACAAGTGCCAGGGTGAACAGAAGACCAGCACAGGGCATGGAGAAGCCATTAAGAGTGTAAGGCAGCCACAGATTGCGATGGGCACTGACACTAATCTGACGTGAGACCAATGTCCACGTCTCCAATTGTACAACTGAAAAGTGATCCTTGAAGGAGAGAGGCGTGGGAGGGCTCCATCTTGCTGTTCAAGAAAGGAGGTGAGCCAACTAAGCGGCAAACACGTGTATCAAATCAGGAACCACCATGCTCCCCACAAAACACACAGTAAGCATTTTTAAGCTGTTAGGACTACAATTTTTCCCCCCTATAACCTTTGGCTTTACTTGGATCTCTCTGCTCTTCTACTCTTCTCTCAGCTTGTTCTCTCTGCTATTTAACTCCCCACCCTTTTTTAGGTCAACACATGTACTTTATTATAGTATCATTTATCTTTGCCCCAAGAAGAGTGTAATTTTGATAGAAAAGAGAGTTCTCATTTGACTCTCTAATGATATAATTTTGTGACTATTTAAGGCAAGTCATTTAACCTTTCCGAACCTTAATTCCCACATCTGTAAAACTGATGACTACTTACATATTTCCCAGGCTTGCTGAGGAAAGCAATTATAAAACATTCAGCAATGTGAAAAATAACGTAGAAAGGTTTCTTCATCAGCCTGCTCTCACACTTCCGACCTCTGTTGTTAAATCTGCATTTTCCTTCCTCCAGCATTAAGGGCATTTCAGATTGGGGTTCCTGTGCCACAGCTAACCAGCTCCAGGGAGAACATGTTATTGGAGATACTGTGGGTCTCGCAAGAGGGGTAGAAGTCTCCTAGAACCTGTTTCTTCTAAAGAAGGGGGTGGGGAGAATTGTGCCTAGGGGTCAGGCCATTGGGAGGGCAATTGTGCTGTCTAGAAACAGGTTCAGGCTGAGCTCCGTGAGGGAAAGAGAGCCTGGGATGTTGTGCTGAGCCAAGAGCCTCAACGGACTCAAATGATTTACAATAACCTTAGAATACATTTCCTGTATGAGGAATAACCATATAAGGGTAAATCCTGATGACCATATAACCCGTATATTCAAGGCTGAAGTAAGTGGGACAAGTTGAAATCAAAGGTGTCCATTTGTATATCACAATTTCATGTGCAGGTGATTTTTTATTATTTAATGTGTTATTATTTTCCTTATAATCCAAATTTTTACAGTTAGTATGTTTAATCAGAAAATAGTTACTTAAAATAAGTAATTACTTCAAAATAATTTTATAATGGAAGCAATCTAATAGTCCCAACTAGAGAAATGCCTAACTGTGGTCCTTTCAGAATCGTTAAAAGAGATACAATAAAGAGCATAAAACTCAAAATGAAAACCTAAGCATGATACCCTAAGTCTAACAAAAAGCAGATATATGTATACACATATGATTAAAACTATCTAGAAATGTATACATACTTGAAGAAAATATACAAAACACGAATCCTTGATGTTTTCTGAAGGTTTTTAAAATGTATGAGCAGTTTAATTTTTTTTCCAAATTTTATCTTTTTTTAGGTTGTTTTATTACTTCTAAATTTAAAATATAATCAAAATGATACAACTATGTTTTCAGGATTCTTGGGGACTAAGAAGAGCTGTGAACAAAACAATAAATTCCCTATACAAATCCCTTCTGCCGAATGCTGTGATTTGGGGTGGGGGAGTTAGAGATAGTGTCTACCAAAGGAAGGAGTTTGAGGCCGATGATGGTGTGTGCAGGGGGTTCATTTTTCTGTCTTGGGGCTCAAGAGAATGACATGGACTTTGTGATCTAGGAGAGTAAGCTGTAGCTTATGACTGAGGGATCATGTTTTTCTCCAAATATATTTACTATCTATTATCCCCAAGCCTTCAGTACAGTCTTATTTTGACATAATGGCTTCATTTGGAGCTTCTTGTGCGGCAAAAAGGGAAGAGATCTACAGCCCTTTTTGGCAAAAACCACGTGCCACAACCTAGAAAGCCATGTAAAGAGAAACTTTAAGGTGAAGATATATGTAACAAGAAGAGGGGAAGGCGCTCTCCATGCAGCTCTCCTACGTTTTTCTTTTCCTAGTTGAGAGTGTATCCTCCGCTCCACCCCCTACCCTCACTGAGGACCTGGGCTTCACTGCCTGTTTTTGATCTAGTTGCAGACATTAACCCTCCTCTAAGAGGCAGCTTGGGTTAAGGTGGGGGGATAGGAGGCCAAGGGCCCCAGCATAGAACGTCTAAGCTGTGGGTTAAAGTTGCTAACGCTGCAGTCACTAAGTAGATTCCTGAGCAGGCTTCAGTTCAGTCCAATTTCAAAATGACACCCAAGCTGCTCAACTTCTCCTTCAAACTGTTTCTTTAAGATAAGGTTGAAGATTCAATAGCTCAACGTCATTCTCGGCAATGATTTTTGTCAGAACAATTGTTCACTTAATTACTCCCTCCTAAATAGCTCTTTCTTCTGCCTCTGCTTTTCTATTCCTCCTGCCTCTGTCTGGGCTTTTCCCCTATGGTCCATGTGTAGATGATTGCAATAAATAGTTCAAGAATTGATTTCCCTACCTCTGTTCTTAGGAACCCCAACCCCAAACTACCAGGGCATTTTTTTAACACCTAGATTTGACCAGGTTACTCTCAGATTTTATACCTTTTGTGACTCCTTACTGGTTCCAGATACAGAGTTAATATTGTAAACTGAGATTTAAGTCTTCTAAAATTTCCCCCAACATTTCTCACTTTATCTTTTACCACTGGCCCCATGTTTGAACTATCTAATACTACTTAAAGGTCCTTTTCTTACCTCCTTTTTTCTTTCTTTCCTTTTCTCTTTTGCTCTTTCTTCATCTTTATTTCTTAAAACCCTAGGACAACAAGAAATCCCATAAACATGAGAAATAAAAATGAAATAAAAGAAGAATTCATAATACAACAACCCCAACAAATTATTACTTTGGCAATAATCTATAGTATCATTTGATAGTACTTTTTTATTTTTGATATGCATACTAGTTCTAGGTTATAGACATTTTCGTTATTCCCCTCTGAAGCTGAAGAAGCAAATATTCAGAGCAATCATGAATTTCCTCATTTTTAAATATTACTTCACAGCTCTCACTTATAGTTGAAATCACAGGTTAGTAGATATGAAATTTAGTCCTAAAATGCAGAAGCTACCTCACTTTCTTTACTTTTCTCTGATTCAATATATTAGATTTATGTTTTTAATTCCATTCTTCTAAGTGTGGCAAAACAGAATTGCAGTCAATTTTCCATGACTCTCCCCCTTTCTCCTTTGCTGCCTCTGTGTTCTAGGGGACTTGTGTTGGATTCTCTATGTCTAGCCACACTGGTATCTGCTGAGAAGCACATTACCTTGATTTTCCCTTGAGTACTCTTTGATGCCAACACTGATGAAACCCCATTGTGACTGACCATGTGCCCTGTGTGAAATCAGGGTGCCCTCAGTGCCAGTCTTAGGTGTGGGAGGATCACTGTTCCACTCCCATGCCACGGGAGCTCTGCAGGGCTTGCCATGCTGCCATATCTTCTCTGGGTCTTGCCGTACTTCTAGAGTTCTGCCTGTAGAGTGGGGTCTTCCTCCAGTGACTTCTGGCACCCAGCAAGGTCTCTGCACTCTGTGCTTCTATAAAGCTCCTTTTCTAATCTTTTTATTCCTGGGTTCTTTCTGTTACCCTCAGGAACTAGGCTAGGAAAACTGAAAAGACCACCTTTCTGTGCTCGATGCTCTTCTGACCTTTTCTCAAGGTGAAGAATATCTCATTTGGTATTTAAACAGAGGGAAGTGTCAAGTCAGAAAAGGAAATATTGGGGGCAATTGTTAATATTTCATAATACACTTCTAATACAATAGCATGATAAATTTGTCTTTCTACTATTTTTTTTTTAATTTTTAAAAAGTTTATTTATTTATTTATTTATTTATTTATTTATTTATTTATTTATTTATACAAGCACTGGGTACAGTCAGAAGCGCAGGAGGGTGAGAGAATTCACCTGAGCCAGAGCAGGGAGCAAAACAGGCAGAAGGACTGAGATACACTGCTGAGGGGAGCAGCGGGTGGCAGGAGAGGTCTGCGCGCCATGTGGGACCCTCCTCCGGTGGCTGGGGAGCAGCCAGGGGAACGAACTGGCGTGCCAGAGGCTGCGGGCAGCTTCACAACCCAGCGCTCAACCACTGCGCCACCAGGGAGGCCCCCTACTATTTTTTTATGGACCATAAAGATCACCAAAGATTAATACCTAGTCTTTATAATTGCAATTTTTAATACTAATTTAACAATGTATTTCTAAATTCCATGAGGGCATGGAATTTGTTGTGTTCTTTTGGTGGCAAGGGATGATAAATCTAACTGGAATGGATCTGGCTTCTTGGAGAAGACAATGGAAGGAGACTCTGTGGCAAAGATGACTTGAGGATTTGCAGCATATATTCTTGTTGCTATCAATAAGACTTCAGAAACATCAACCTAAATTAGCCACATTTTATTTTGGGGTCTGTTATCCTCCCCAGAATTCTGATTATTTCTGAAGGATCTAGTATGTAGCCCATGTCCTAATGCCATTCAAAATTGTATGAACAACACCATGTAAGATCATCTTGGATGTACAGGAAGCTGAAGAAAATGAGTAAAAAGCCTCACTTTGCTATTTAAAATATTTGGTGTGCTGACAATGATGTGACATTTAGTACATTAGACTTTGAATCCAGTGGTACAAGGTCAAGTCTATGGCAATTTAATTTGCATGTTGCTGCGTCAGACAACACCACACTGACAAACGGGAATCGTGGAGCAGGCTACAAAATGCAGGATGCTGCTGAAGAGCAAGATCCTGGCCCTTTTATTGACACACATAATCTATTGTAAGGAGATTAAGGAGTTTAAAGAAAGGGGAAGGGTGTAGAAGATTAGGGATTGTGAGTCTGCCCTCCAGGCACTTCTTATCTACTTGATGACATGCCTTATTCCCCCCCCCCATGGCTAATCTTATCAACAAGGTACTCCACTGATCAGCTTCTGGGGTCCCTTGTCATATGGGCCCCTGGGTGTTCCCGGTCATGCCTCGTGATGTATAAGTCGGGACCAATGTGTTATACATTGGTCCTCAGCCCCCTGGGCATTCCAGACATACCTCGTGAGGTACATGTTTTGCATGGGTCCTCAGCCCCCCGCCCGGGCGTTCCCGACATACCTCTTGATGCACAACTTTCACAGTGTGGTCCAGCTTTGTGCTCTTGTTTGATTTGAAGGGCTGAAGGGTTGGGCTCCTGTTCCTAACTGGCCGGACCACTTTGACTTTGTTTAGGTGACAAAATGGCTGCTGAATAGGCTGCCTAGGAGTAGCAGACCCACAGCATGTTTATAACATAATGCGAAGCCCTGTCTAGATTTTGTATATAGAATGACCTTGATTGTAGCAAACTTCTTGGAAGGGACCAAACAAATTATTTTGAAGCAGAGTTTGCATAACAAACACCAACTTTTCTTGTTTTATATGATGTATTTGGCTGGTGCATGCTGGATGTCTGTGTGTCAGAACTATCAGTAAAACCCCACCCTCCTGTCACCCTAAGGCATAACCACTGGTATTGGGTATTTTGCTATATGATCTTGAGCAATACCCCTAACTTCTTCAGATGTTAATTTTCTTGTTTGAGTTATTGATAGACACACCTGCCTATTAAGGATGGTGTAAGGTTTAGAGACAATGTGTAGCACTCACCTGATAGTAGGCATTTAGTAAAGGATGGCTATTAGTATTATTGCTGGCAAAAGAATGTATGAGCAATAACAGGATGATGATGAAGGAATGATAAGGATAAAAAATGTAACACCAATAACAAAGTCACTTAGCCTGTGATAGCTGTCCTTTTGGGATTTTTAAAAGCTGATCATTGCTTGATTTTATTATATTACCCTTCCCCAGGCCCCACAAAGTATTGTGTGACATGTTTATTAGTTTAAGTGATTTAGTTTCTTGAGACTTTAGATTTTGTAACACCCTTTGTGCTGCTGAAGGTTCTCTGGGGAGTTACAAAACCCGTTTTGAGATTTCCATTAAAATGTTAACAAAAGAATAAATAAATAAAGTATCTTCCTCTTCTTAACCTAGATAGAATCTTTCTCTTCCTTATATGACATTGAGTAGACGGCAGCCTTCATACCTAGGTTAATGGTGGAATGCTATTGAACCATTCTGCCTCTTCTTTGCATCTTGTTTCCCTCCTCCCACCAAATAAGTACTGGAAATTAAAAGCTGCAGTTCCACCTCAAACCCATTGTCTCGCTGCATAGTATAGATTTCAAAGAGAAGAACTGAACATGTGCTGGAAATAAGAAAAGAAAGAAAACCAGAGGACTATTTGAGTAGTTCTAAGGGACGTCAGAGTAGGGAAACTGCAGCGGGTGTGGGAGGTGGAGCGACAAGGTCAAGGAGAGAATAACTGTACATATACAACCCAGCTTACTATTTGGACACCTTGAGGGACGTTGGATTCACTCATCCTCATCCTCCAAGTGTCTTTTCTTGAATGATCTTTCCAAAAGCATAAGTGCCAGACACAACTCCTCTATAAATATCAATGACAGCACTTACATGAGAATATCCAACAACCACTAGAAACCAGGTTTTCTCAGGTAATCTGAAAGGTGGGCTCTGCCTCGTTTTGCTATCCATGGTTTGTGAGACTATAGAAAATTAATTTTTGACCTCAGCATCTTCATTTGTAGTCTTCTGTTTAACAAATTTTTGTGTAGTGCTTACATAATACCAGCCAAGTATTATGATAAAGCCTGATGATAAAATGAAGAACAAGAGAGACATGGGTTTGACTTTATGATGCTCATTGTATGATGGAAGTGAACCAAAAATTAAATAAATAAATAAGCCATGATGCGAATTAATCACAAATGATTATGGATCCATCAAGAGGTGAGAAAAAGCTTTCAGTCCAAAGCAGCAAGGACAGAGACTGGAAGCTGGTGAGATAAGAAAGTATGAGCACAGACATCAGAGGGTGAACTGGGGGAGGCTTTAAGAGGCTGCCCTGTGGGCTGATGCTGCAGGAACTAGAGACAGGGCCAGCCATGCCTTTCATTTGTAGAACAATGGGAAGACCAAAGGATTTTAAGCAAAGAGGAGATGATCCATGTATGGTTTATAAATATTTCTACATTCTCCTGTCAGTGTGAAACTTCTAGCATTCTGACCATCCACTCCACGTACTTATGGCCCAAGCAGTCCCTGTAATATGGGAAAATTCTCCAACCTAAAGAGTAGTCTTTGGATTAGACATCCTTTCCTAGGTACTTGCTGATCTCTTACCTCTCAGTCATCTGCCTGGAATGTTTATCCTTCTACCATTATAACAAATCCCCACGTCTGAAATTTCTTGTCACCTCCCTGCAAAGTCTCATGTCTAGGTGCATCTCCTGTACCTTACTGACTTTTGACGAACTAAGTTCCAACTTGCCTTCTGTTCCCGGGAAACTTAGAGCATCACCTGACTGAAGCCTCTAGCCTTAGAATTCAAACCACAGTAATTCTCCTCCATGAAATTTTTTGCTTCCCCATACAATTTCCTTGAGAACTGTTTGATAAGCTCACTGCCAAGGAAGAGAGTGGGAATCCAACAAACATTTGTATTGTGTCCTGTGTCTCCCACAAAGATAAAGTTGTTCTTTCCAAATTATGGCCTCTGAAGACATCCTAAACCCTTTAGGCTTAAGTGTTTTAGGATATCCAGTGAGAACTCAGCAAACACCACATGGCGGGGGACCATAACCACAATGTCTGCTTTTAAGCAATTTAATTCATGGGATCTGAGCAAAGAACTGGTCTTTCAAGACTCCATTTCTCACAGAAGTACATGTAATTTCTTCCTCATGCCTTAATTTAGTTTGGCAATATACTGCCACTATTGTGCAGCTTTTGTGTTTTATAGCTTGACATGAAAAAAAGGAGAAGGGACGGCTCTAATACCTTTGGATTTTGTAGGGATTGTCAGTGCCCACAGCCGACCTTTTCCAGCAGCTGGTAAACAGCTTTAAGATTCAGAATATCTTCTTTTCACTCTCATTTGCCTGGAGAGCCATAAATGTCAGTCTTGTAGCTTCCTCACAAACAAAGCCCGTTGGTAAAGCAGGCGGACGCTTGCTCATGATGAGCATGTTAAGATACTTCATTACCTTCTCTTCCCGGTGGCAGTGCAAGGACAGAGCATGGCAAAGAGCCTGTGCAGCTTACAAATGAACTGCATTTTTAAAGCCTCGTTGAAAAATATACTTAGCATTCAACTGAAACATGCAAGTCAGATGAAAGAGCTATT